TTTTATATATTATACCATATATTATATTGTATATATTATTCATGTATATGAATAACAGCAGTAAAAACAAATATTCATATGTATAAATAATAACAAAAATGAAAACAAATAACCTAAAGTTCACACAACATTATGGATAGTTCTCACAGTATTGGCTGAAAGAGCCCAGAAATAAGAGACTATATACATACAATATGATTCTATTCATATAATATTCAAAGACAGGTAACTAAACTGTGCTGTCAGAAGACAGGATAGTGATTATCAATGAGAAGGAGAAAGGGAATAATAATTGGCAGGGCACGAGGAGGTCTTCCAGTGTGATGGCAATCTTATGTGTGCTGACTGGATGGTGGTTACACAAGTATCTGCTTTATTAGAATTCATTGAGCTGTACTCTTGTGTTTTATGCACTCTTCTGTATGTGTTATACTTAAAACAATGTTTTAAAAATCAAGTTTTTAGTGGTTCTTAATGTTTCTTTGGTTAATATTCTCATATACACACATGTTAAAATATTGACTCACAGAATTTTTCTAATGTTTGGAATAAATCAGAGTATTAGAAAATACCCATTTAACTGTGAAATTTTATTTAAAAAATCTATCAAAGAGGGATAGTGCCTCATTGACTATTAGCTATTATATTCCTGCTATGAGGAATCATGGCCACAAGTGAGCAAGATTTCTATACTGCTGTTGAAAGATATATTTTAGAGATCCTTATATAAACTGATTTCAAAAAAGGCTTTTTAAGATAAATATGAGAAATGGTCTCATTAGGATGAGATTTGGAAGTTGCCAAAAGCTTCTAGACAAGTTACTAGGTAACCTTATTGATTGTGACCCATGGCATGTATTAGCTATGAAAAATCATATTCCTGCAAGCAAGGAGCTCAAAAGCTGGTACCAAAGCAGTGGTTCCTAAAAGTAGAAAACTGTAACATTTATTTTTTTCTTTAGCGTGCAGCCTCGCTTTTTTCCTGCTTATGAAGAGTTTTAGAGCGATTAAAGGCCCCAGAGGAAGAAAATAACAAGGCAGTCCTTACTGCCCTGGGATAAAAGACCCTGAGAGAAATTGATTCTAGGACTCATTAAGAGACAGAGTGTAGAGGAACATCCTTTTGATAAGAAAAGCAGCTAGAATGGAGAAAACACAACCAAAATATGCAACGTTAAGGGAATAATTCAATAAACTATAATGATATTATGAAGTTACAAAAAACTGCATTCTAGGAAAATATATAACTGACATAGGAAAATGTTTACCTGTAGTAGTAGATAAAAATTATAATACAAAACAGTAGAATGGGATTGTGGATAACTTATATAGGAAAGAACGATAAAAATTTTAAATAGGTATAGAAAAAAAATTTAAACTCAGAACTTCTTATTTTGGAACTAGATGTGTATAGGAAAAGTCAAGGTAATAATTAAGGGAATACTTGTGTCTAATTGCTTTAGTGTTTGTGTTTGTTTTTGTAGGATAGTATTGGGGCAGCCAATGAAAACAAGAATATTTGTACTTTTTTATTTTTTTAATTTTTTTTTTGTGAGGAAGATCAGCCCTGAGCTAACATCCGTGCTAATCCTCCTCTTTTTGCTGAGGAAGACTGGCTCTGAGCTAACATCTATTGCCAATCCTCCTCCTTTTTTTTTTTCCCCCCAAAGCCCCAGTAGATTGTTGTATGTCATAGCTGCACATCCTTCTAGTTGCTGTGTGTGGGACGCGGCCTCAGCATGGCCGGAGAAGCAGTGCGTTGGTGCGTGCCCGGGATCTGAACCCGGGCTGCCAGTAGCGGGGTGTGCGCACTTAACCACTAAGCCACGGGGCCGGCCCAGAATATGTGTACTTTATAATAATTTTTAATTACTTTATATTAAAAGAGTAAAATTAAGAGAAAAATCCATCTAGTAGACAGACTGTGGAAGCTCTCAAGTCAAAATAATAGTGTAAATGTTTGAGTACCTGATACAGTATGGTGTTTTAAAAAATAGTGAGAAGTAAGGTGGTAAGTGAAAATTTGCATTGGCTTCAGAGCAGATAGACTTGAATCAAGTTTTGTCTCTGCCACTTATTTAATGTGGCTTTGTATAAGTAACCTCTCTCAGGCTCAGTTTATTCACCTATAACGTGGGGTTGGTGAAACCCAAATTGAATGGTTAGTATGAGATTTAGAATTTATTGAAAACTCTCTAGTTCAATAAATATTAGCTATTCTTCTTCTTCTTCAATGTATAGTACTTTGTTGAATATAAAGAATTAGCTAAGTTACAAAGAATTAATTTGTGGGAAGAGAATAAGACATATGACAATAATTTGAAACTGCAAGTGACAAATCTACACAACACTGTTATGCTAACATAATCTTGCAAGGGTCTTAGCCAGTGTCATTTGTTTAAAAACCACAATACTCAGGAGTGTAAAATGGTTTCCAAATTTTGTTGACTGTGACTGGTAGCATATTGTGACCCAGTATACCCAATATATATTTATATGTCACTGAAACAATTTATGAAATAATACTTACCCTTACTATGTGCGATGCATACTGATATTTTCTATTCTGTTCTATTCTTTTATGTTGCTATTGTAATTCGCTAAATCAATCCACTAATGAGTTGCATTCTGCAGTTCAAAAAACACTGCTCTAGAGGCCGGCCCCGGGGCGTAGTGGTTAAGTGCGCACCCTCCGCTGCTGGCGGCCCAGGTTCAGATCCCGGGTGTGCACCGATGCACGGCTTGTCAGGCCATGCTGTGGTGGCATCCCATATAAAGTAGAGGTAGATGGGCACAGATGTTAGCCCAGGGCTAGTCTTCCTCAGCAAAAACAGAGGAGGATTGGCGTGGATGTTAGCTCAGGGCTGATCTGCCTCACAAAAAATAAAAAATAATAAAAAAAAAAAACAAAAAAAACCCCACTGCTCTAAAAGATGTCTAGGAGATTAAATATATTTTTAGAGTGATGTACCTCAGCTTGATGATTAGTGTCGTCATGTCAGTTAGATCTCTTAGAAACAGTTCATGTTTAGGAAGCTACTTAAAACATTCTTAAAGTATTATAAAAGCATTTAGTGTAGCAAAAAATAAATATCTATAATGAACTATTAATTAAATACTATATAACTGAATGCTTGTGATTAATTCTATATTACACCAGAAGATGAAATTATTCTAGAACGTTATTTAACTAAAAAAAATTTTAACATAAGAAATGGTTTATTCCCACAGTACAACATATAAAAATATTTTTAAGATATAATTCACATACCAAAAATTTTACCCTTTTAAAGTGTGCAATTCATTGAGTTTTAGTATATTGACAAAGTTGTGCAACCATCATCACTATATAATTCCAGAACACTTTCATCACCCCAAAGAGAAACCCCATACCTATTAGCAGTCAGTCCCCAGCCCTCCCACTTCCCAGCCCCCGGCAATCACTAGTCTACTTTCTGTCTCTATGGATTTGTCTATTCTTTTTATTTCATATAAATGGAAGCAAACAATATGTGCCCTTGCGTGTCTGACTTTGTCACTTTGCATGATGTTTTCAAGGTTCATCCGTGTAGGAGCATGTATCAGTACTTCATTCCTTTTTGTGTAATAAATTCCAGTTTTTGGATATACCGCATTCTATTTATCCATTAATCAGTTGATGGACATTTGGGTTGTTTACACCTTTTGACTATTATGAATAATGCTGCTATGAACATTCCTACACAAGTTTGTGTGCATACATGTTTTCAGTTCTGTTGGGTATATGCCTAAGAATGGAATTGCTGGGTCAACTGGTAACTCTGTTTATCTTTTTGAGGTACAGCCAAACTTTGTTCCAATTTTATATTCCTACTAGCAATGTATGAGGGTTCTAATTTCTCCACATCCCTGTCAACACTTGTTACTATCTTTTTTCTTTTTTTTTAACCATCCTAGTGGATGTGAAGTGGTATCTCATTGTGGTTTTGATTTGCATTTCCCTAAGACTAATGACATTGAGCATCTTTTCATGTATTTGCTGGCCATTTGCATAACTTCTTTGGCGAAATGGCTATTCAAGTCCTTTGCCCATTTTTTGATTGAGTTGGTTGTCTTATTGTTGTGCTATAAGAGTTCTTTATAATACTCTGGCTGCTAGACCTTATCAGATACATGATTTGCAAATATTTTCTCCCATTCTTTGGAAGTTTTTGTTTTCTTTTTTGATGACGTCCTTTGAAGTACAAATGTTTTGATTTTGATGAAGTCCAACTGATCCTGGCTTCCTAGGATTTTTTTTCTTGGTTGCTTGCAGTATCATATCTAAGAATTGTTGCCTAATCCAAGAATACAAAAATTTATACATATGTTTTCTTCTAAGAGTTTTATAGTTTTAGCTCCTTTTTGATACATTTTGAGTTAAATTTTGTATATGATGTGAAATAGGGGTCCAGTTTCAGTCTTTTGTGTGTCTATCCTAGCACCATTTGTGGAAAAGATTATTCTTCCCCAATTGAATTGTCTTGGCATCCATTTAAAAAATCAATTAACTGTAAACATATGCATTTATTTCTAAACTCTCAATTCTATTCCGTTGATTTATAAGTCTCTCCTTATGCCAGTATCATGCTGTCTTGATGACTGTGACTTTTCAGTAAGTTTTGAAATTGGTAAGTGTGAGTCCTCCAACCTTATTATTCTTTTTCAAGATCGTTTTGGTTGTTCAGAGTCTCTTTCATTGCCATATGAATTTTAGGATCAGTTTGTTGATTTCATCATAGGGATACCACAGAACTTGGAAAGGGGGAGTAGAGCAAGGTAAAATGTGACAAAGCTTGGGGCCGGCCTGTTGGCGCAAGCAGTTAAGTGCACACGCTCCGCTCCGGCAGTCCGGGGTTCTCAGGTTTGGATCCCGGGCGCGCACCGACACACTGCTTGTCAAGCCATGCTGTGGCGGCATCCCTTATAAAGTAGAGGAAGATGGGCACAGATGTTAGCTCAGGGCCAATCTTCCTCAAGAAAAAAGGGGAGGATTGGCATCGGATGTTAGCTCAGGGCTAGTCCTCCTCACACACACACACAAAAAAAGTGACAAAGCTCAGTGTTGTGTTTCAGCTGTGTGTGTGTGTGTGTGTGTGTATGTTTGTGTTTAATAAATTCTCCAGGATTGCTGCAAGCCTGTGGTTATTTCTAGGGTTCTGAAAAATTTGCTTCTGATCATTTTTGCCAATTTTCTCATTGCTTTTTTGAAGGAAAGAATTTTTGGAGGTCTTATTCTGTCATTTCTACTGCCGTTACTGCCTGAGTGATTTTGAAAGTACACTGCAGGGAATTGAAGCTGACTCTTACTTTCTCAAGTAAGAGTGTGGGGAGGTTGGTTTTATAAAGATACATAAGTCAATAAGGAAAAGATGGTCCCATGGAAATCCAAGAAACAGAATTCCAATATAACTGGGCCTATAGACATTAGACCTATAATTCAAGGAAGCTTTAAAACCAGCAGTAGTGCAGTTGAACAGTCCCTGGCACAGATTATGTGCTATAAATGTGTTGCTATTATTATTTGCAGTATAACCAACCACTCGTTCAGTCTCTACTTCTCTTTTCTTCTCATTACTGACTGCCATCTTCACTTTCTATGTCTCTTTTATATCACAGAACTTGGTATGTCATAGCTTCAATTTTATTATGATTTTAGCTAAGTTATATCTTTGGCTTACTCATGGATCCTTATTTCTTTATTGTCCCTATTCTACCTCATGGCTTCTCTGTATATTTTCTTAGCTTCACTTCAAATTTCCAGGGGCAAATATTAGAATGGTCCATTTCATTCCTTTTTGGACAGAATTTTCCACATTAGACCACCTCATGGGCTGCTTCCCAGCCTTTGGATTATCTGATCTTGGGTAGGTTGCCTCTCTAGCCATGGTGACATGATGTAGTATGACATGTGGCTGCCTAGGATTGCACTGGAAGCAGGAAATCTGCACAGGGAGACTTCCATGTGAAGGACTGTGGGCTGGGAGAACTAGGTACAATATATAGTTTTCCCTATATGGCATATAATGTTTTTGTTGTACACAATGGTGACTGAAAAATCATGATTAACACTTATTTTTTTCAGGGGAAGATATAATCCAGTTAATCAGCAGATAATGAATGCCAAGAGAGGACCAGTAAAAAAGATTACAAGATCAAACCATCTTCCAAAACTCAATTCATGATTCGAAAACTGGGTGGATTTCTATTTCTTCCTTTTTTTCACTTGTAATATTCACCTTGTGAAGTTAATGTTCAACACATTTTTCAGGGAATGAAATAGATAAGAAAAAACTGTCAAACTTCTTTTTAGCTCCTCTTCCAGAAGTTTCTCCCTTTGGCTGCATAAAAGTAATTTTCTCAAGTGACCCTAAAATATTTATAGCAGTGCTCATGATTTTTAAAATATCCTAGGAAGCCTGAAGGTCGGCATCATTACACTTGCTTTTAATATATCCATGATCTGGTCTGATAGTAACATTGCTATTATATTCGGTTTCTAGTTGGCTGTTAGCTAAAAATGTGAGTTCATCAAAACTCTTTGCTATTTTACACTATATCATGTTCAGTTTTTTTAAAAACTAAAAAGCTTTAGACAAAGCTGCAAATCAAATGCATTTTAAACTTTGACTTGAACCATCATGGTATTGTGGAAACAGCCTTCAATCAGGAATCCTCTTGGTTATAGTTCCACCTTGCTTATGAGATCTTGGGTAAGTTCCTTTACCTCATCTTTATTTCCCACATCTGTAAAATGACTGAGTCAAACTATACAATTTCTAAGGTTTCTTACTATTCTAGAAAACCATTACTTATTCAGCCTCAAGGTCCTGCTACTTAGCACATGGTGTTGTAACTCATTTTGTGATGTTTATTAATTCATAGTGATGGCCTAGTTCTTTGTACCAAAGTTTGCAAGTGTTCACAATACTCAAGTCTAGAAGTAGAGATAGAATGAGGGTAGGAGAAGGGTTCTTTTAAGGCATTTATAAAGTTTATTGAATTCTCCTATTCATGTTTAGACTGTTTTGTAACTATCACTTAAGTCTGGGACATACATATGATTTATTTGCCCAACTTAATAAGTGAAATTATTGGACTCTAAATTTCCAGAAATCACCCAGAGGTAAGTATAGTTTCCAGCTAGTGGTGTTCTCACCTAATATCTGGCACTAAAACCTAAATTCTATTCAGTATCACCAGTAATGAATACCAAATGCATTTCTATAACTATCTCTATAGGCATTCGCTTTCTTTCTTTAAGGAAGAACACATAAATTTCACACAGCCAAATCATTCTTTTATGTGACTTTAAAATGTAATGCAGAGAAATATAAAGTAACTTCCTGTAAATTATTCTACATGGGAACTGTTTGGAAATATTTTCCCCTGTTCTTAAGCTAACTACAGATATCAGGTACCATAACTCATATTGTTAAACAAATAGTAGATTTTTATGTCTTGGACCATGTTTCTTAGCAATAAATAAGTAGATAATTTAAATATTGGTAATAATTGTACTAATCACAGAATCACCACTGAAAAATAAATTTGTTTCTATCATACAGAGCTAAGCCATTATGGAGATTGGATTGAAGAACATTTAAAGTTATCTCAATCGTGGGGATGTTATATTAGTTGTGCGTCTTACTACAGGGACTCTCATCTTTAAGTGTTAGTTCTACAGGAGCTACTTTGAGATATTTTCCAGATGTCAGAAAATATCTGTCTTAAACAGAGTGATGGAATGGTGGTGGGATAGTATAAAGAACTGAAATGGGGGGCTCTCTAAGATCTGCGTTCTAATATCAGTTTTGCTACATCTAAGCTCTGACTTTGAGTAAATTGCATTGCTTCCCTTTCATCATTTGTAGAGTTGGGAATATTTACCCTAACTCCTGCCTTGGGATGGTTGTGCAGGTCAAGGGGGCTTACTACATATTTATTTGTTTACTACTTTGTACCCTATTTCCCTCTAAAAAGAATGTGCATTAGCTTTTACCAAATATAGAGGTATAAAAACAATACCCACAAGATAAAAGATGAAAATAAGAGTTAAAGTTTTGTATTCCTGATTAAGAAAAGCTCTAGCTGTAAGCTTTCTAGCAATCGGTACAAAGAAGGAACGACTTAGACAGCTCTCATATTTTTGTAGGAATATACAGGTAGAAAAAAAGCTTTACCTAGTTCTAAGCTCTGAAAATAATTTGTCACGTAAAGTTTTATAAGAAAATGCAATTATTTATTGAAGTAACCGGAACAAAAATGATAATTCGAGGTCTTTATTTTGTTTAATACTGAAATATGTATTAATATCAGTATTTGTTTTTTTAAAGAGTTCAGAATTCATAAAGCAAAAAATTAGTAAAATCATATTTAATATATTTAAAAATGTTAAATGTCTAAAATGTATTACAAAATATCAAACATTGCTATAATCAAAAAGACAGGTAATAATGAGTATTGGTGAGGATGTAGAGAAATTGGAACACTCATAGACTTCTGGTGGGATGTAAAATGGCACAACCACTTTGGAAAACAGTCTGTCAGTTCCTCAAAAGGTTAAACATAGAATTACCATATGACCCAGTGGTTCCACTCCTCTGTATATATCCAAGAGAAATGAAAACCTATGTCCATGTAAAAATGTGTACACTAATATTTATAGCACCATTATTTATAATAGCTAAAAAGTGGAAACAACCCAACTGTCTATCAACTTGATGACTGGATAAAGTGTGGTACATCTAAACAATGGAATATTATTTAGCAATAAAAAGGAATGAAATACTGACACATGCTACAACATGGATGAACCTTGAAAACATTAGCCTAAGTGAAAGAAGCCAGTCACAAAAGATCACATGTTGTATAATTCCATTTATACGAAATGTCCAGAATAGGCAAATCCATATGGACAGAAAGTAGATGAGTAGTAGTTGCCTAGGACTGGCAGGGATGGGTGGAGGGTGAGTGATGGAGAGTGACTGCTAACGCGTACATGGTTTCTTTTGGGGGTGATAAAAATGTTCTAAAATTAATTGTGGTGATGTTTGCACAATTCTGTGAATATACTAAAAACCATTGAATTGTACGCTTTAAGTGGGTTAATTGCATGTTATGTGATTTATACCTCGATAAAGCTGTTATAAAACAACAAATGTTAAACATATGACATTTTAATGTAAATTAGTGGATACATTTTAATGAAATATTATTTGATCTTTCTCAGAAAATATGATCTTAGAAATCAAAATGCATTGTCACTAGTGCTATTGTTGAGTCAAAGCATATTTTTGAGCAGAATCTTCCAACTAAGAAGCTCTTTCAGATACTACACTAGTCAGAAGAATAATGAGGATTGTATGCTACTTCCCAATATTTCCTTGACTTCTTTAACTTTGAATAATCCCATTTCTTTCTTGATAACCTTGTAGTAATATTTGTAAAACATCTTTTGATTTTTGACTAGGATTAGATTTTTTAAAAAAATTTGTAGAGAGCCATATTCAAGGACTAGGATTTACTATGTGCTATGTTTTTTTTTTTTTAATTTTTTTTATTTATTTACTTTTTCCCCCAAAGCCCCAGTAGATAGCCATATGTCATAGCTGCACATCCTTCTAGTTGCTGTATATGGGATGCGGCCTCAGCATGGCCGGACAAGCGGTGCGTCGGTGCGCGCCTGGGATCCGAACCCGGGCCGCCAGCAGCGGAGCGCGCGCACTTAACCGCTAAGCCACGGGGCCAGCCCCTATGTGCTATGTTTTTGTTTCAAAGAAATTATTTCTAGTTTTTTTAAGTCATCATCATTAGTATTATCATGTATAGCTGGAGATTCCAAAGAAGAGTCACCTATATCAGTTTTGGCACTATGATGTTCTATTCTCCTGGACAAGAAATTCTTTTTTTTTTTTTTACAGTTAAGTTTCAGTTTCTTGTATTCTTTTTTATTTTTTTAATTAATGAATTAATTTATTTTTTGTGAGGAATATCAGCCCTGAGCTAACATCCATGCCAATCCTCCTCTTTTTGCTGAGGAAGACCAGCTCTGAGCTAACATCTATTGCCAATCCTCCTCCCTTTTTTTCCCCAAAGCCCCAGTAGACAGTTGTATGTCATAGTTGCACATCCTTCTAGTTGCTGTATGTGGGACGCGGCCTCAGCATGGCTGGAGAAGTGGTGCGTCGGTGCGCGCCCGGGATCCAAACCCGGGCTGCCAGTAGCGGAGCGCACGCACTTAACCACTAAGCCACAGGGCCGGGCCCAAGAAATTCTTTATTTTGAACTAACAATTATTCTTGCAACAGAAGCTTATGAATAACACTATCTGGTTTCTTTTTCCTATGTGCACAAGTGAGGACCTGCCGAGACTTAGAGACCATATATTATATGTCTTTTTTTTTCACAAATTGAGTAATTGAGCCATATTTATTTTTAAATGTAAATAATTTGATTTTTTATTTTTTAAAATACCAGCATAACAGAATTATATCAACAACAATGCTAGGATTTTGGTATTTAAGCAGAGCAGAGTATACCAGAATACTAAAAACTGCTATGAAAATCACTAAACATGATTGAGGTATGAAAAAGTACCTTTAAAATAATAAAGCACTGCTTAAATGTAAGATCACATCATTATTGACAGTAGGACACTATTTTTAAAACAAGTTAACACCAGATGGATCTGACCTACGAATTAGAAAAGTCTTGAATTTATAGGCCATCCTTTTAACTTTATCAAAGGAATTTCGTATTTACTGTCTCAGTTACAGGGAAAGTATTACTATCTGTAGACCTACCCAACAGCGAGTCTGTCATCACTGGAATTATTCAAACAGAGGCTAGGTGACCGTTTGTCAGGGATACTAGAGAGAGGATTCCTGCCGTGGGTGGAAGTTGGATTCACAGAGTGCCAATAACCCTTCTGATGCTAAGATACTGTGATTCCCTGCTCATTTGTCAGATAAGGAAATGAAGACAAAAATAACTTCCTAAAATATATATTGATTGAATCCTATAGGCTGTGTCCACATAGGCTGTAGCTATGGACTTTCAAAAGCATTGTTGCTTTACCGGTAGCCAAAACTAATGAAATCAGCTGTCATATTATTCATGGCCAGCTGTTAAATGTAAACTAAAATTAGATACCATTTTCATGTATAAAATGGTTTCAAAATGATAATTTTCAATGCTAATGTATCTGAAGTTTAAAAGTTCTAATATACTGCTGGTGAAAGTATAAATTAATGTAATTCTTTTGGAAAGCAGTTCAGTTATATTCTTGAGTAGCCTTAATGTTCATACATTGACTTGATAATTGTACTTCTAGTAATCTATTCTAATGAAAAATCTTGCATATAGAAAACACAGCACAATCATTTTATCAGCATTATTTATAACATCAAAAAGCGGAGATTTCCTTGGTGGATTATGATACTTTCACATGGTTGAATATTATGCAGCAATTAGAACTTGCTATCTTATATTAAAATTCTTTCTTCTCTTGTATTTCCTACATTCTGAAGCACTTCGGTGTTTTTTGTCTCCAGCACTTTCATATAATGAACAATCTTATTCATCATTTGTCACCAGTTAGTACCTAGGATATGACATGCACTTAATACATTTTAACTTAAATGGATAGCTCCAAAACAGAGTTTATAATATCATGGGAGGACTTAATATTAGAATGTTAACACATCGGTACAAAGTCTTACGTACAATATGATTTTAACTATTTAAAAATATCTATAGGAGAGGGTACAAAACGGGACTCTAGTCTACTGATAATGCCAAAAGATGTGTTTCTGTTATACAAATTTACTGTCCAGCTCTACAGAGGAAGGTGAGGTAGGCTCCAAACCATGATCTACAGATAGGTGGAGAGGAGGGGAAGACTTATGGAGTGGGAGAAGGGAACATGTTTAACAGGCTGTATAACTTAGGGAAGCATACTTAACTTTCCTGTCTTAAGTTTTTACCCTGTAGAATGAAGATAGAACTAATTGATTTCAACGATACTTTTATGTGTGCTGACAGGGAAGGGGGCGTGGTCAAACACGTTTTTATTGAAACAATTCTGATATCTTAATGTAACAAAAATAAGAATAGAAATCACAAAACGTCAGGTATCTAAAAAATGTATATTGACTTACCGGTGTATAAATAGCTAAGAAAGTCTTGAAAGCCGATGACAGCAGTAATTTGTCTAGATAAGGTTAAAGGAATTGGAGCAAACAATAAGTAAATAGTGGGCAGAGGTCAATGAAATAACCACACTAGGATTTAAGGAGCTTTCAAGGAGAATATTTTCCTTTACCTCCATTCTTTCCTTTTTCTTCTCATTATACCACTTACTTAAGGCCTTTATTATAGCCAGATAGCTAGACAAAAGAGAAAAAAGGTGATAAAAATGTCATCCTGGTGTGTTGAGAGTCAGTTAATAATACTTACTGATGATGGATGTAGAGAATCCTTTCATCTCTCTAACTAGAATTGACCTCTTTATTAACTGAACTCCTGTGATTAACTTCCTTGCTTATGCCACTTCTGTGGTTCTAATCACCTTCTATCCTGAATGATGGGTTTATTTTGTTTTATGTTTTGCATGTCTTTCTCTGTTACAAGAGAGTTAGCTTCTGGAAGGATAGGGCCATATCTGATTCATCTTTGTATTTCCATCAGGACTTAGTTCAGGGACATACATATTTTGGATGCTCAGTAAATATTTGTAATGAAAAGGTGGACCTAAACACAGGTAAGGGTTTTTTAAGGATCCTTAAGGACTTAGGGAATTTAAGAGACTTGTAAGAAATAATGGAGTAGCAAAGTGTGAACTAACAGCCCAAGGATCAGAGCCTTAAGAATAGGAACCCTAGC